TGACAGTCACCCATGGTTACAGTGTGGGAATGTGGCCCTGGCGGGACTGGTTTTTCAGAAGAGACTAGATATCTGGAATTCATGAGGGATTTTGTAAACCTTGAAACACCCCAGGGAGTCTCTAGCAGGGTCCAGGCTGGGATCTACCTGAGGGCAAATGGAGCCTTACTTGGACTTCCACCATCCATAACCTCACAAGGGTTCCTCAGTTAAGTCTAGTCCTGTAGATTTTATGGTCTGATGAGAAGGGTGATAGTTTTATTTGAGGGGATTTCTATAGTTGAGATCCAGTTGGCTCCTGGGTATGTTCCATCTCTCAGTGGGACAGCAGAAACTCACAGAGGCCTCTGCCAGGTGGTAGCTGCTGGGTTCCTGAACGTCCCTCATCCTGTGGATTTATCAGCCCTCAACCTTCTGTGGTACAAGACTAGAGCCGGCCAAACAGTGTCAAGCAGGCACCATGGCAGGCCATGGGCCAGGACAGCACTGTTTGATACCTCTACTTACATAGAGTGGGAGAGGCTGCAGGTTCCTAGTCCACGCAGGGCCGGGGTCACTTATGACATCTCTAACAAAAGCCCCTGCCTGCTCCACATACCTCTTACTGCTCTGGCCTGGCTCCTGTCCTACACCCCTGCCATCTTAGGTTCCACTGGCTCAGTTCTCACCAACGTGGATGGACTCCTGGGAGCGGGGACCGGGCCCCACTTGGTTCTGCAGATACCAGGTCAGACGCCGTACACAGCTGGGCGGGTGTAGGCCTGGGCCATGCAGGAGAGAAGGATCCTATGTCACAAGCTCCAGTGTGATTGGCAGCAAGAGAGGGAGGCAGACAGATGGCTTAGAGAGGTCTCGGCTTTGGTCTGTGCCACTAAAGTGAGGGATTTGTGCCCACCCCAGGTCCCTGGCACAGGCACAGGGTATGGGAGTGGGTCTTGGCTGGGTTTCCCTTTCTTGGCTTTGGGTGTTTCTGGAACTGATGTTACTAAGGCTGAGGTGGTTCTCTGCTGTGGCCCTTGTGTCAACATCCTCAGTATCACTAGGGAACTGACTGGAAACAGAAATCTTTCATGTTTGGATGTCCATTCATGCACACGCGCGCGCACACGCGCACACACACACACACACACGGAGAAAAAATTTCTCCCATTAATGTTTTAGCAAATTTTTCAGGGCATTCTGATAGAAGGTCAAGTTTGAGAACAAATAACACACTCCTCTAATGCTGGCACTCAGAAGCTGATGCAGGAGGATTGTCATGAGTTCACAGCCAGCCTGTGTCACCTGATAAGTTTCAAGTCAGCCTGAGCTACATGACAAGACCCTGATCTTGTCACTGGGCATTCCCCAAGGCAATCCTTTCTGTGGGGGCGGCTTGTGGGGTGGGGCTAGACAGCCCTGAGCATGTCATGGGTTTTGTGGGGGACAGTCCAGATTGAAAATCAGTGAACTGTGCAGCTGAGCATGTCATGGGTTTTGTGGGGGACAGTCCAGATTGAAAATCAGCGAACTGTGCGGCTGGCAGAATTCATCCCTAACGGCCTCTCCTCCTGGCAGAGAGCTAACTAACCACAGGAGGGGTTTTGTCTTTCTAACCAAGCCCTTGGTGCAAACTGACCTGACCTCTGTAGAACAAGGAAATAGATATCTTTCAGAAACCTTCTGCAGTATTAACAGACTCAGAGTGGGCAGTCTGAGGAAGCGTGTGCTTCTTCAAGGTAACAACCGTCATAGAAGCAAGCCTGCACAACCAGAATCCCAGAATTCTGGCGTTTTGGCATGATTGGCCCCTGGGGTGCCCATGCCCACTGAACATCACAGTCCCTGTGATTCGCCTGCCACCCAGTGCAAGGGTCTCCGACCTGCAGTTGACCATCCGGGACCCCATGTCCCAAGCACTCACTGTAGGACACGCCCAGAACGCCTGTTCTTAGGCATCACAAGGACAGGCAGATGGAGGAAGCTACAGTTCCCAGGGGAAGTCAGATATACTGACCACTTTGCCTTTCTTCTAATTATTACCATGGACCTGTTCCTGAAGAGAAAAATGAGGCCCTCAGAAGTTGCTCCTAGTTGTATTGTTTTAGCAACTTTTCCTGGGGAGATACAGCGAGTACACATGGCTTCTCACCCCAGAAAAAGAATCCACTATAGACCAAGTAACAATTATACCGTTGTCCTGTTGTGTGATGTTTTACTCTTTTGGCTTTTTTGTGAGGCCCACTACACAGCTCCCAAATAAACTACACATGGAAGCTTATTCTTAGTTGTGAATGTCGGCCTTAACTTGGCTTGTTTCTTGGCAGCTTTTCTTAAATTGTCCTGTCTACCTTTGGCCTCGGAGTTTTTAATCCTTCTCTATTCCTTCTTATTCTGTGTCTGGGTGTGCAGCAGGGTGGCTGGGTAGCTGGACACTGGGTGTGTACCAGGGTGGCTGGCCCCTGGAGTCCTCCTCCTTCCATCTCTTTCCAAGACCTCCTTTTCTCCTCATATTTATACTCTCTGCCTGGCAGCCCTGCCTGTTTCTCTCTCCTGCCTCGCTATTGGGCATTCAGCTCTTTACTAGAACACCAGGCATTTTAGACAGGCACGGTAACACAGCTTTACAGAGCTAAACAAATGCAGCATAAACAAAAGGAGCACACCTTAAGATAATATTCCCCAACAACGTCCAGTGTGATGAACCTGTTAGGGAGTCCTAACAGGAGTACCGGTGAGTGGTTACTTACAGGAGCGGGGATGACTCAAAAGCAGCCAGAGCCCCCCCCCTCAGGAATGACAGTTCATGGAAGCTGCACCCTTAGAAGCTCTACACGACTTATAGGGAGGGAAGGCTCACCCCTCTGCAGCTGGCTGGTGAGTCTCCTTCCCAGGAGCTGTTTACTGCATCTATAACCCTGGGGAGGCCCTTGTGAATCTTGAGTTTCAGCTTTCCCAGTCATACAGTTTGTTTACTTAGAACCTCTTGACCCTCCCCTCCTCCTTCCTGGAGGGCACAGTTCAAGTCACAGGGCATGGAGTAATTGAGGCAGGCTGGCACCACTCCAGGTTTAGAATTCGTTGGAGGCCTGAATTGGGTCTCACTGAACAGCTCTCAGACACCCGGAAGTTTGTTACTCTTGATCCCCAGGCTAAACCTTCAAGTTGCTGAAGCACTCACCACTTGGGTGTGCCCTGGAAGAGACCCTCCTAGTGGCCATAAGCCCTTCTGATAGCAACTACAGACTAGGTGTACAGTTTGGAGACAACCCTTCACTGAACGTAGGATGCCTGTAGAGAGATGAGGTATGTTTGTGGGTGGAGCCACAACCTGGGACAACTGTTTCCCAATGACCTTTCTCCCAATTACTACGAACTAGGGAGAGCAATTCTGTTCTGTGGAAGATGGTCAGCCAGGTTACTGTAAAACTGCTTTTGGGGTAATTTTGCTTCCGTCACAATGAAAAGTGTAACTTCTAAGAACAAGCAGTACCTTTTGAAATTGGTGGCTTTCTGGAAATGCTGACGTATAAACCTATCCGTGTAAGCAGACTTGTACTAACCCCACCCAGGGCGTCAGACCTGGGTTTTCCCAACCACTAAACCTTTAGTGGTTAACAGTCACCCCCTGGTGGCCATGTGCCACACTGCATCCAGTTCTGCAGTACTAGAGTACAGTGTGTGAAACAATCTTACTTCCCTAGAAGGGTTGGACTGCCCCCTCTCTTGGAACCCTGGAGCACCTTCTTAACAATTAGCATCGTTCACATCAGGGAATATTGGAGCAAGTTCCGTGCCTGTGCAGTAGCATGACTTCTGAGCATGTGGGACATCCACAAGTGCCACGCCAATCGCCACGTGGCTCCCTCCTGCCCAGCTTTCGACCGGGCAGGGTGAAGCAAGCCTTGCCCGGACAGGTGCACACTCTGCAGTAGGTCAGCCTTCCTGTCACACATGGGGACATTTTGCCTAAAGGATGCCTTCTGGGAGGCCAAGTTGAGGCTACTGAGGAGCCCAGCAGGCTGACAGAAGTAAACTGCCTCTGTCCATGCCCACTTATCCGGCTTTCCCAGTCCTGCTAAGGGTGTCCCGATTTTATGACTAAGAAAACTGAATAGACTGCTTGTCTGAAACATTTTCTTTTGGGTATGTGGCTTACATTCTGTTTCTGAGAAAAAGTACATGCAAAAGAAGACAACAAAGAGGTTAAAATCACACACACACACACACACAGCGTGTGTGTGTGTGTGTGTGTGTGTGTGTGTGTGTGTGTGTGTGTGTTTGGCAGTGCACCGAGCAAACCCAGATGCAGCCCCAGCTTTGTCCTTCTGTCCTGGGCCCTTCCATCCTGAGTGTGGCCAGCAGGCTCCAGCCCAGGACAAGGGAACTGGTGCCAGGCCTTGATTCCTGACTCTTTTCTGCTCTCTGGGAACACACCTGCCTCTCTGAGAAAGGAAATTCTCCCAACCCAGACTCCCCATCAAATGACCCCCGGGAGCTGGCCCTCTCTGGGCTGTGGGGACCCAGCGCTGGCCTGGATTTCCAGTGCCTTAGGACATCTGGACTCAGCTAGAACAAGGTGGTTGGACAACTTCCTGCTGGGAGCCCCTTCCTGTAACAGGCACTCGGGTGAAGATGGCGGGTACACCAAAGGACAAGTAGCCATCAGGCCACCAGTTCCAGGCGTGTGGCAGCCTCTAGACTGTGCGCTGTGGATTCGGTTGTGGCCCTGAGCATGTGTCTGTTGTTACAATGAGGTCTGGGCACTGCAGCCAAGACAGCAGGTTCCCCACGTGCCCAGGTGACAGTCCCTAGCAAGCACGGTGGTACATCTGCTGAGACCTTGTGTATTCTGCTGGGCCTCAGGAAATGTGTGCCTCAAGGTGGAGGCTGGAGGCCAGGCCCTTACCTGGGAGCCTTTTGGATGGTTGTTCTCAATCTGTGGGTTGCAACCCTTTTGGGGGTCAAACAACCCTATCACGGAGGTCACCTAAAGCCATCAGAAAACACGGACAGCAAAATTTCAGTAGGAACAAAAATAATTTTATGGTTGGGGTCACCACAACACGAGGAACTGTATTAGAGGGTAACAGCATTAGAACGTTTGGGAACCACTGCTTTAGGGAGCTGAGACTGCCCCCCCCCACGGCCTCCGCCCCCGGCCCTTGACTCTTGGTTTCACGTGAGACTGACAGCCACCCAGAGTACAGCACGTATTTCCTCACTAGCACAGTCCAGGAAGTGGTCACTCCTCTCACAGCCATTTCAACCATGATAAGCCCAAGGAACAGAGACACTAAGTCACTCCTACAAGGTCACCAGCCAGCCAGTCACAAGCAGATGGTTCTAGTCGGGTTGTCGGAGGCAGACTGGCAGTGGGTCTCACTAGGAATTGCCCAGTCCCTGCAGACCTGTCGGCAGGTGTCTTCAGGAGAGGGAGGCTGGGGGGCATAGGGGCCCACCATAGTCTTTATGAGCTTTGTCTGGAGAGGGGTTAGAGTTCACGGATCACCGGCAGGTGCAGGCAGAGCGTGCTGAGAATTCTGCTGGGGCGAGGGCGGGAGACAGCTGCTAAGGCCTGCTGAGACTTTCCGGAAGTCCAGCTTTTCCGGTTGGACGTCTGCTGCCTAGGCCCCGATTTTCTTCCTGGAGAGTACTCAGGTAGCCTGACCTCACAGAGCCTCCCCGTGTGCTCCTTCTGTCTGTGCACACCCGAGTGATGAGAAGAGCCTGGCCCATTGGGCGGATCTCTTCTGTCTGCCTGCTCTTCCTGGGACTTCCCGAAGAGCCAGTCCAGAGGGTTGTCAGTGCCAGGAGAGGGCAGCAGGGGCTGTAGGCCCCTGGCGCAAAGAGAACTATCTGCTAGAGACTCAGCCTGGCACCTCTTCTCTCTAGTCCAGGCTGGCCGGGAGGGTCTATGAGGTCGGCTCCGGACTATGACCTTGTCCAGCACTGAGGTGGGCTGTGCCAGCTGGCAAATAGACCTAACATAGTCATCCAGGCTGGGAGAAGTTGGGGGTTCCTGTCCAGATGCCCCATGTGGTAACTCTTCAGAAGTTTCCCGAATCGTCGGCAAGTGTGGCACGGGCAGCAGAAGCCTGGACCTCATTGCTGCTAACAAAGCAAAAACAAGCTGTTGGTCAAGAGAAAATGGTAGACTACCATGCTATCCTGACACCCTCCCGACATCCTTCTGCTTCCTCCCGATCACTATAGAAGCTATGTAGGACTCGGGTACCCGAAAAGCAGTAAGAAACGTGTGAGTCTGAGACCAGGGTCGTTCCCCAGCTCTTCCTTCCTGTTAACATCAAAACCCATATGCTAAGACTTCATCACTAGGGTAGTTTAAGGATGCCCAGATAATCGGGGCTGGAGAGATTGCTCGGTGATTATTCTGGCAGAGGACCTGAGTTCAATTCCTAGCACATACTTGGTGGCTCAAACCTTCTATAAACTCAGTTCCAGGAAATCTGATGGACAAGTATATAGTACACATACATTTGTGTAGGAAAAATACACACACACACATATATACACACACACACAAAGAGAGTAAAATAAATTAATTTTAAACTTTAAATCAGAGAATGAACAGATAAGAGAATTGAGGGTACTAAAGTGTGATCTGAGGACACCCAGGTTTAAAACCCATCCATCACTTAATGACCTAGAGACCTTTGGCAATGTCACCTCTCCAAACCTCTACTCACCCATCCGAAAAACAGGGTTATGAACAGCCCACTGGCAGGAATATTGTGGGAAATGCATGAAATCATAGCTTTGACACCACAGCCTGTGAGTTCTTTGTAAACACGAAAGCCTTGGGCAAACACCATATTATCACAGCCATCAGTGGCACCCACCACCCTGGTCTCCATCCAGTAGCCAGGCTGTAGAAGCTCAGGGTGAGAAATGCCATTTTAAAAGCCTCGAGCCACAGGACAGTCCCTCCTCTTACCTGTGGGTCAGTAGACAGGGTGGCGAGGGTCTGGATGAGAAAAGATTGTCTAATCCAAAGGAAATACCCAGAGGTGAGCAGTCACAGCCCGTCTCCAGCCCTCAGTCACTGGGAAGAGGGTGCTGTGCCGTGGATTCTTCTCCTGTGCTGTCTGGCAAACCCAGACACCAACTGCTGCTTTTAAATGTTTCCTCCAGTCATCAATCACTGTCAGGAAAGCTCAAAATAGCAGCGCTTAGGAAGGTTCTCAGAGGAAAACAGCACGGAAGGCGGGGCTGGCCCAGCTGCCAGCCTGGTATTTATGTATGTGCCTGTGGGAGGCAGGGAAATGTTTACCCTGCAGGGTGAGGGGTCGGCCAGCCACCTCCCCACGACTTAGACAGTTCTCTACAGGTAGAGACCAAAGCCAGATTACCGGGTGCTGGGAGAGCCTGGGGGCACCATGGGACCTTCACAGGGAGCCTAAAGGTCTGCCGCCCCTGCCTGGTGTGGCACAGCAGGTATTACAACAGCACCTATGATTCTGTGGCATGCTGGTCTTGTCCTAATTTCTGTCGACCACCAGGACTGCACTTGCGACCTTACTAACACGTGAGCCTTGCAGGGTTCTAGCCTGGAGTCTTCCTGGGCCTGCTGCAAGGTGAGGGACGCCCCCTTAGGCAAGCTCGAGGGCAGCCTGGGGGTCTGGCCAGCTCTCCAAACCTCTCAGAAGGGATGCTTTCAAGGGGAAATTTGCTTAGTCATTGTTTGCCAGGTGTGTGGTGTTACTGTGTGCCCTGGACTGCTGAAGGTATAGTAAATAGTGTGGACAAATGGCCACCCCTGGAGCTTGTTTCTCAGTGAGAGAGAAAATCAAGTCGAGGTGGTCAGGTGCAGTGACTCAGCACTCATGATGGCTGCAAAATAAATAAAAAAAAAAAAAACTACGCTAGGGTTGTGGGGCAGGGTCAAAGGCTGGTGCTGTAGGTGGGGTTGTCAGAAACACCTTCTCTAAGGGGTGACATTGGTGGGGCAGTACATGCAAAGGCTCTGTGACGATGATGTACTTGCTGGGCACACTCAGGGGACAGCCAGAGCCTGGGTGCGTGGTGGTGGTGGTGACAGCCAGAGCCTGTGTGGTCCAGATGGGGGGGGGGGGGGGGCAGAAGACACCAACGCAACGGCAGGTTCACATAAAGCCATGCTCAGGCTAATGACGGTGGTTATGGAGAACCAGGGGCGACACCAACACAGTGGCAGCTGGAGGCAAACTGGGCAACCCTGGGGACGTTTCCTGTAAGGAGCCAGCAGTCTGCCTCTCAGGCCTCTGTGCCTCTGCTCACCTGGAACACATCTGTCTTCTGCCCTCAGGAGCCGGACGAAGGGGAGTCAGAGGGGACAGTACTGCTCAGGTCTGACATGTGAGGGCTGGACAGACCCTAGACTCAAGGAGAGCTGCTGGTCCTTTGTCCGTGCTTTCTAGGCGTGGCATAAGAGCCACGGGTAAAGATGGGGACACTGGAGCTACCAACAACGTTTAAGCCAGGTGGCAGGTCCCAGCTTACACCTGAAGGACTCCATAGGACCTGTGTCTGTTTCTCTGGCTCTCAGAAGTTATTAGCAGCTGGCTGATTAGTTGAGAGTCAGCTAGATGGTGGTGGTGCACGCCTTTAATCCCAGGGAGGCAGAGGCAGACGGGTCTCCGTGGGTTTGAGGCCAGCATGGTCTACAGAGTGAGTTCCAGGACACGCTTCAAAGCTACACAGAGAAACCCTGTCTCAAAACAGAAAGGAAGGAAGGAAGGGAGGGGGGGAGGGACGGAGGGACGGAGGGACGGAGGGACGGAGGAAAAGAAAGGAAGGAAATAAGAGGAAGAGTTTATTGCCCATGTGCTCTCCCGGCCTGGCGTCTCCGTGTCTTAGTCCGCACTAGCTTTCACTGCACTCATGAGCAGTCTTCAGGCTGCTGTCTTGCCTCTTTCTTTGCCAACACTAGACCTGCTGTAAGAGGCATCTGTTCACCCAATCTCATCCCCATTAACTACCATCCAGGGCCCAGTGCATTTTTCAGTGCCCCGCGCCCCTTAGCTCTCCTCCTACGTTCATCTGTGAGCCACTCATAGTGAAGCCATGGCTTCCTTGTCTCTCCGTCTCTGAGCCTTAGGTAGCACTAAGGGTGATGGGTGTCCATGGATGAGCTGGGTACTGAGAATTTCCACGAGTGTTGCAGGCTTTTCCTACTTTCCTTAGAGACATTTGAAGCTGTAGGTCGATGCCAGCCTTTTATTTTATGGGAGTTGAGTTTCACATCTAAGCCTGTTTTTTTTTTTTTTGATCATTACTTTCTTACTCACCGGAATATTAAAGAATTTTTATATTTATGTATTTTATTCTATGAGTGTTGTTCCCTGCATGTGTACCCCATGCATGCACTCACCAGCAGAAAAAAATTGCAGTGTAACTGGGGGTTGGTGCTGCCACTGTTGGGATGCGTGGACAGAGGACAAGGCAGGGTACACAGGGGGGCACCAAGTCCACTAGTACCATGGGATTCTCTGTTCCAGTGCACAAGGAGCTTCGCCCAGTACAAGTGGCCAGGCCACGCTTCCCCCGGGCTGTGCTTCCTCCCGGAAGTGTGGGCGGCAGTGTGGACGTGCCTGCCTGACACTTGCTGTGTCCTGGGGGACTCCTGACTCAGCAGCTCCGTGCTGGCTCCAGCTCTGCCTGGGCTTAGCGGCGGAAAGAACAACTCCTGCTTCCTCCTGAGGGGGCCCTGCCCTTATGCACTGAAGCATGTACGCTGGGGTGGGGGTGGGGTAGGAAGGCTGAGCCTCCTGTTTCTAAGGGGTCACCTTTAGGGCAGCTGCTGTTTGTGAAGAGGCTGACCCATGTGGGCTCCACAGGAGGAAGGGGCTTTGATCATCGAAGGACTCCTCAACATCTCCTGGGGACTCAGACGACCCATCCGGCTCCAGATGCAGGATGATCACGAGCGAGTGCACCTGCCTTCGGCTTCATGGATGCCTGAACATTCCAGCTATCTCCAGTGAGTGCCTGGCGCACGAGCCAGAACTAGGGGCCTCCATGACATCCATTATCATGAGCACCGCATAGCCTAAATGTGTAGTATCCTCAGCCTGGGGGTAGATGCCCCACTGCTGCTGTATGGGGTTGAGGCGCAGGAGCACAGATCAATTGTCCTCCCATATTCAGTGGCTACCTCAGTCCTTTCTAACCTTGTCCACCCCAATGTGCAATCCTACTTAGGGTGCCCTCCCTGTTGATGATTATATGACCATTCTCCCTCCTCCGGAATAGTCGTGCTCCCAACACATGGTTCACGTGTGTGCTGGGTTCAGAACTCAGGGCTAAGTACTATACCAATAAACCATGTCCTCAGCCCACACGGATGTCCTCAGAAGGGAATGTCAGCATCCTGCTACTTCTGTTTTACATCAGTGACAGACTCTGTTTGCCTGAACTTACCGGAATTTAAACCCGTTTTACCACCAGGAGAAAGGCAGTTAGTTAGGCTGAGCTTTGCCTCTTCATGTAATGACTTTTCAGAGGCAAACATTCAGAATTTTGTTCCTGTCAAATATGCAGGTAATATAGGTGTGGTGACACAGGTGTGTCTGAGATCATAGCGCTTGGTAAACTGAGGCAGGAAGACTGTGAGTTTGAAACTCAGGCTAGGCCACACACTGACACTACCTTAAAAATACTATATGAGGAGCTGGAGAGATGGCTCAGTAGTAATTGCTGGGTTCAGTGCCCAGCCTGCTGTGGTGGTTCAAAGCTGCCTGTAACTCCAGTTTCAGGGGGATGCAGTGCCCTCTCTGGCCTCCGTGAACTCCTGCAACACCAGCTGCACACAAACTAACATAGCCAAGTACACAAACACATGAATTCAATCAATCAATCAATCAACCAGTGCATCTCACAAGATAATGCATGCAGATAATGAGTACTCTGGGCGCATGGAGCATGTTGACATGACAGCTCTTATCACCAGGTGTCCCTAGTCACTGGCACAGAATTTTGAGCCGCATAGACTTAAGCATAAGGGCTCCTTGGAATGGCTGCCGGTGTGACTCATCTCCCTTGCACCCCTCAGTTAGAGCAGTCATGTCAGCAATCCTGTCCACAGCCCAGGTTGTCTAGGGTACTCCTTTCTCATTCTTTCCACCTGAATGCTACCAACTCCCCTTACACCTCCTCCTTCTCTAGCTCCATGGTACCTTTATTGGCTTGGGGTGAGAATCAGTACTTCTAAGAGGCCTGGGGATTTGATCCCTAGCGTTAACCTTGCCTGACTCCTCAGACCTGAAACACCCTCAGCAAACCCAGCAAGCTCTGTTGGTGCCCAACTGTACAGGCACTAACCTGGCTGAGAGCCTGCATCCCGGGAATGCATGGGCATTGGCTTTGCACGTGGTCTGTGACTCAACCTGCTCTTTCTAAGGGCCAGACTCCCACGCCTTCCAATAGATGCTGTGGCTCGCTTTCTGTTATACTGATACAATTTGCCCACTCAGCCTCTGCTGCTCCCCGCTTCTGTCCTGCTTTCTTGGTCCACAGTCACTTGGGAACTGTGTTTCTCTCTTTTCAGGAAGGACGCTCCACCCCAGGATAGCAAGGTCCCCACGGAGGAGCCTAGTGCTCAGCCCACAAACAAGGCTGAGATGTTCAGAGATAGCTCAGGTAAGTAAAGCTCAGAAGACCCCAGCCTGTCTTGGGGGTACATGCAGTCTCAGAAGAACAGCCACGTGGAAGAATTGTCATCCTGTCTCAAGAGAGAGAGACTCTTGCTAAGCATCTGTACAGCAGGAGATAGGTGCGACACACTCTTCTTCATTCCTTTTAAGGACAAGGAAATAGAGGCTTGTAGAAGTGTCACCTTGTGGCCTTGGCCTGAGTCTCCTGCAATGGGCTGTGATATAAAAAGGAGGGGCTCAATGGTGGGTACTGTTCCCTTTTGTTCCAAGCATCTAGTACCTCATCCTCATGCTCAGTGACCATTCATCTGTGCTCTGTCCCCTTTCCTTAGCACCGAGTGAAGGACCTGTCCCTGACTGAGTGCTCAGAGGACAGGGCTAGAATGACCACGTACCTCAGTGGGTACCGTGAGATGCACCATGGCACTGGCAGAACCCCTGCCCATCTTGAAACAAAGAT